GTACAGCAGGGGGGGATCCTTTGGCGCCAGGATAAGAGCTGCCTTCCCCCAATCACCAGCTCTTGCTAACTAATGATTCCCATATGCGGCTTAATCAACTCCACAAGTTCTTGGATTCAGTACAGCTCACTATTCCTTCTGCAAATCTATCCAGCTTCCCATCTTCTGATGCTGCTCCCTTTCCTCTCTGAACCCTCCTCTCCCCTCTTTGCTCCCTTCCCACCCCCAATTTCACATGGCAACTTCAGGAATGAAGTCAGGATTTAACTCCAAGGGTTTATCCACCCCTGGAACAGAAGCAAGCTACATGTGTCCTAAGGTATAATGCAGACTTGCTACCCTGTCTTCTTGCTGCTGTTCTTTAATATTTCAGCAGTGCCAAGAAAAGAGGTAGTAAGATTTCAGGCTTCTAGGACCTACTCTATTAACAGAGTTTTGAAATCCATCAACAGTCGTCAAGTGTATGAGTTACGTGGGAGTGACAGTAGTGAAAACAGTTAATGACACCTCTGATCACAGCTTCAGCCTACTTACTTACCTACCTACTTACTAATTACTTTGGGGGTAAACAGTTCAGTCAGAAACCTTTGTGGCCTTACTCCAAATCATCACATGGGAGTGCCACTGCTCAGGGGAACCTTCCTACCCTAATGTCTTCTAGACATCTCTGGCTACAACTTCTATGATTCCCTACCAGATCTTACATTGATGAGAATCCTAGTTGAACACATCTGGACAGTGTTTGGGGACAGTGCCTCAAAAGGGAACAGTTTGCTTTCTCTGATTCAATTTCCATCTCCATCAGGTTTCCACAGAAAAATTCTACTCTCAAACCCAGAGGAACAGCAGCCCATCGTGGTCAGCAATATGCAGCATGATGGACCAAGGGTCTGACTCAGTATAAGGTAGCTCCCTGCATTCCAAAGATCCAGGGAGGCATCTACAGCAGTGTTTCTCAACCTTGGCAACGGGGAGATGCGTGGACTTCAACTCCCAGAATTCCCCAGCCAGCATGGGAAGTTGAAGTCCACACATCTTCAAGTTGCCAAGGTTGAGAAATACTGATCTAGAGGGAAAACTCCTAGCACTGCCAATCATAGGTGTTGCGTCTCTATTTCATCTTTTTTTCTATCAAATCTGTTTTTGAGAAAGTAAAAAAATACAATGGCAAAACCACCGGACAATTACAAGTGGAAGGCACACTTCACTGAATCCTATGTAAAAGTACACAAATGAGGCTTCAAAGTCACAATTAAAAACCTCACCTTCACATCTACCTTCTGAGTACCAGCGCCTAAGCCCCGTGAAAGATCCTGCTTTACTTGGTACAGCAACAATCCCTCCACAGCTGGATAAACTATGGCTGTAGAGAAGATTTTTCAAATTCAAGCTTTCATTACCAAGGCCACCCCCCTTTCACCACATAAGTATTGAATCTCTGGTCATTGCAGGGGCCATTTGCAGAGTTGTGTTGTTTAGAAATCTGAGATACCCTTTAAAAATATACAACATTTGGCAACGCTAGATGTGGGGGTGTAAGCAAGCCCTCAGGCCATGCAGCATGATCTGAACCAGGAGGGAGGAGGAACAGAGGCACCACAGAGGCACCGATAGCCCAAGCCCTGGAAATCGCTGGAGATGGAAGAGCCATCGGCCCTCCCCCCCTTCCTGCAGCCCTCCCTTCTCCTACCAATCTGGTTCCAATCTGTGCTTCCTGTGTAGCAGGAAGCCCCAGCCTCTCACTCCATAAACTCAAGACAAAAAGGCCTCTATTCAAACAGACGCTCTTAATTTAGCTTCTTGCTCTTTCCACTCCCCCCACCCCACATTCTGGCTCTGGTTTCTTTCTCCAGAAAAGGGAGCTATTGCAAGGAAGCCAAGAATAGTCCCAGCCCCAGCCATAGAGGAGCAAGGCAATTTCCTGGGGGTGACTTCTTGGAACTGGGACAAAAGAAGAAGTAGCCCCAAAGTCCTAGCATATGTATTCCGGATGAGTATAAATATACCTCCACATTCATGCTAAAAAGCAGATCCTCCCAGAAAAAAAGAATGGCAGAGTGCTTTCAGAAAGGGTTGCCAGGAGGAGGCCATGCCACAGCACAGTTGGCGGCAAGCAAGCAAGGAAGGAAGGAAGGAAGGGATTTGAATGTGCAACTCCCATCTTTAAGCTAAGCTAGTCAGAATTTAGAAAAATCACCTGGAAATTCAGCTAAATTCAGCTTATTTGAAGAAAGTCAGATACATGTAATAATCAAAGAACTTCATATACAAACAATCAGCCTGAGGGTGGATCCTATCCTAGAGAGATCCATCACTCACAGTGGTAGGATAGCAGCATACCTTTAATACATTACAGATAGTACTAATTTAACTTAATAATTCTCCACAACAGCTTATACATTTGCCCACTATTTTCTCAATGCCAGAAGGTACTTTTTATAGCAATGTCATTTATTTCACTATTATTACCCACAAGTAATACTTTACTGGCAAGAGAGGATACATCTGAATTCTAATGTCTGTATCTCACAAGATGTCTGTGAGACTTTTGTGACTTATTTCTGAGAACAAACTAGTCTTCTGTTAACACGTGTTCCCTTTTAGTCGCAGCATCGTCTCAGCTCGGATTTACTCTGACTTTGTCGAAGCTTGCAGGAGAAGCCACTCACCATATTCAGAAAGAACCTGAATGTGTGTGGAGAGATTCGGGGCTGGCATCAGTGGCTTCTGCCAAAAGAAAACCCTGTGGCTGGAGCTCCAGATTGGTGTGCAGCTTAGCACCAGCTGTGAATGTCAGCTGCAGGTTAAAGACCATTTCCTGTGTCTGACAGCTCCCCGGCACTTATCCATCCCTCTCCTTCTGCACTGCTGCTAGCGTGATACACACTCCAGGCATCAACTTCTGAAACTAGATCTCCCTCACCGTCTGTCTGCCAGAAGGGGCTCAGGAAAGGCAGGGCCAGCAGCAGCTGAGCTGGAGCGGGTTCCCCTGCCCCCACACACCAGGGCTGGGCAAGCAAATCACTTCCGGTCCCCAGATGGGAGGGAGAAGATGGCACGGGATGGGATGGGTTGGCTGCTCCTGCAGCCCAGACTTTATTCTCGCCCATATGCTAAAAGCTACAAGGGAGCCATTCTAATACCTCCTGCTGCCAGTAGCACCCAGAGCAGTGTTTCTCAACCTTGGCAACGGGGAGATGTGTGGACTTCAACTCCCAGAATTCTCCAGCCAGCATGGCTGGCTGGGGAATTCTGGAAATTGAACTCCACACATCTTCAGGGTTGAGAAACACTGACTTAGAGCAATGCACTATCTCTAGCTGATGCTGTAAACTCCACTTCCAGGAGGGAACTGTGGCTGGAAATGTAGCAAAGAAGAGGAGGGCATGCCAGAAGATCAAGCGCTTCATTCTTCTAGTTTTCATTCTTCTGTTGCAATGTCTGAAGATGGGCTTGTGCCAGAAAAATCAGCAACTCTGTCATGATAGCCTTTTATGTCTTCAAACATTCCAGCAAGAGTGCAAGAACTAGAGGGTGGGTCACCCACCCATCCAAGTGATCACAGATGCTTAGTTCCAAAGCCACCCTTAGGAGCACTCCGAGCATGAAATAAGAGTGAACCACTGCTCTTCCTTCTCTCCTTCAAGGTAGAGAGATTACTATAAACTAAGATGGCCACCAACATCCATGGTGCTACAGAAATGACACGTTTACCAGTGCAAAGCAGTTAGATTTCTGTTCCAGAATGATCTGGCCCCTGCTCCAGCCCTTTAGACATGTGGGTATTCCAACACCTCTGGAGTTCTCTCTTGCTTGCTCTCATCTTTGACTTGCAAATGAAAAGAGACCCAACTGATCACCTCCTGTTTTCAAACCATGATGAATTTAGAGCCCAGAATGCAATCACCACAGACCTCACCTTGTATGCTTGTGGAGATGGCAGAGGCTCAGAGCGATGGAGGAGGGGCTCAGAAAGCTGGAAGAAGCTATGGCGATAGGAACTGTGATCCTTGTGCTGCCACACCAGTTTGTAAAGCTCCAGGCAGGTCAGGCCAGCTACAGCAGCCGTTGTTGTGACAATAGCAGGTACAATCTGGCCCACAATCCTCCTGGCCTATTGAAATTAAGTTAGAGAGACACCATAAAGACAATGGGAAAGAAAGCTGCTTCTTGCAGGAAGGAGTTCTGCAGGGTGGCAAGCACTGGGGAAGGATTTGCTAGGGAGGCCTTGGCCAAGGAATTGGTAGCCTCCACCACCTTCATTCTCTTGGCAAGGCCTCTCTCTCCAAGCATCCACCTTTTTCCCCTCCTGCTCTTGAGTTGTCTTGTAAAGAAGTGACCTTGCTGCATGGACTTCTCCTAAAAGAAGCTGGAAAGAAAGAATACATTCCAATATCCCCACTCTCAACTCTCCATCTTCTGTCTTGCATTTGACTGGCAATGGGAAAAAAAAAGAAGCAAAAGGCTTCCCGCTGGCCTCACCTGGAATTTATCCACTGGAGAGATGCCATAGTTCTCGGCTCGCAGATTGGCTGCATGCGTGATGAAATCCAAATGAGAGTCCTTATCCTGAGGATCCAACAATTGCAAAATCAGTCCCAACCAGGAAGTAGTGGAAGTAACAGAAGGGAACTCAATGGGAATGAGACAAAAGTGATTGTAAGCCTTACAAAAGTCAGGAAAAACAAAGAACAGTTGGGACTGGATAGACTGCACAGAAAAGGCATAGAATGTGGTAATGGGTGTAGATGATGGTGTTTGGAGGGTTTATTTTTAGAAAAGCAAAACAACTTCTATGACTGCAAAAATGGTGTGCGTGCAACGCTCTGTGCAATCTTGGAAAACAGTGTGCAGCTAAAGAACTTTCCACAGCCCAGAGCAGATGTAATACAAGGTTGTCCTTGACTTGGCTGAGGAATTGCGCCCTCAAGTCTTTTTCCCCTCCTCCTTATCCTCTTTCTTCCCATGTGACAAGCCTATTTCACAACCTTTTAATATGGTTGCTCCTTTTGTTTATCCAACCCAAGTCAACGTAACATTGGAGGCACTCCAGACTGAATGTTTCTGGAATACTTTTGAATTCGGAGAACCAAGGTAGCTTTGGATGGGAGATGGGAGAATGTAAAAAAATGGAAAGAGGAACTGTAAACCAAGGAACAAGGCTATGTAGAAAATACAACACTATAGCAATATAACTACTGCAAAGATAGTATGGGGGCCTGGTTCATTCATTAATTCATTGATAAGATGTATAAGGCCACCCATCTTGTGAAAAACAACTCTGGGCGGCTCACAGTAATATTAAAACCAAAGAAACAAACCAAAAGCCTGGCACCCTGACCAACAATATCCAATCCATCAGACAATGTGACCCTCAGGCCCCAACCTCACCCTGTCCCAATGCCTGGCAGAAAGGCCAGCCCTTTACAGCTTTCCAGAAGGCTAAAAGAATGGGAGCCTGCTGGATCCCAGGAGGGGTGCTTCACAGAGCAGAGGCTGCTATGGAAAAGGCATGCTTCCCAGGTCCCACTACATGGCAGCATTTAAGGGAAGGAAGGGTGCCCATCCAATCTGACCTGGTAGAGCGGGCAGATACCCTCAGGGAGAGGCAGTCCTCCAAATAACCTGGCTCTGTGAATGTAGGCTTTAAAGATCATAACCAGCAGCTTGAATCGCACTCAAAAACAAACTGGGAGCCAGTGCAATTTGTGCAACAGCAATGTGATATGAGCAAATTGAAGTACGCCCAACATTGTGTACACCACTGCATTCTGGACTAGTTGTAACTTCTGGGTGGTCTTCAAGGGTAGTGCCATGTCGAGCAGATTGCAGTAGTCCAACCAGGAAGCCCTGGTAATGCAGTGTCACTCATTCCAAGCATCCTGGCACTTCCAAGTCTGAACACATCCAAGGTCCTAACTTACAATGATGTCCATGAAGCTGTTTCTTGGAACTGCATGTCTGTCTTTGAATGGATGTTCTTACTAATCCAGGCCCAAGTTTCTTTACTAAGACAGGGACATGGTAATCTAGACTAGTGACAAGGAATGTTTTACAGGATTATGAAGGGTGCTTTCCAGCAGCAACAAAGACTGTGATGTGACCAAATAACTTGGGGACACAAATAGAAAAACAAAAAATAGGGAGTATAATCTATCAAAATTGTTCAGTTTTAAGCACATGTTTAAACCCTTTCTACTAAAATGAATGGTGGTTAGAGCCAATCTAGACTTGGTGCCATTCACATAGACAGCAATTGTGTAATCAAACTGCAGAGACAACCCCTTCCCTGATTCCAGGGAGGGATATTGTGGGAACCTTGACTATCTGAAATCTCTTCAACCCCAATCCAACTGAGGAAATGACAGGGGCTTTTCAATCAAAACTGCAGTAGGGATACAAGTCTAAATCCCAGGCATTCATCGGACCCAACTCAGACTGAATCTTCTGCACTTTCATTTGGACCACTGCAGCATGCTGTGTGTGAGGCTGCCTTTGGAGACAACTTCGAAGCTGGAGCTGATACAAAACGCAACTAGACTGCCGGTGGCATAACTCCACTAGCCCAGCGTAACACCAACTCTCAAGTCATTGCCAGCAGGCTTCCAGGCTCAATCCAGGACACCGGGAATGATATTTTTTAAAAAAAACTCTTGATGGTGCAGCATCAGGATACAGCAGGAAACACCTTGCCAAAACATATCTGCCTTTCTAGGACAGTCATCTGGCCATATCTGTTGTGAATCCCTCGACCCCCCCCCATCCCCGGCAAGAAGTACATGGCTGTGAACCAGATTACACACTTTCTTCATGGTATCCCTCATTCTCTAGAACACACTCTCTCAGTTCAGACCCTGTTCTGTTAACACTGCAAACAAGTCAATCTGTGCTATTTCAACGAGCCTTTGGCCCCAGTTAATCTGAATGAGGGCATCCATAACAAGAACTCCAGTTAGAGGATTTGTATTGTTACATTTTATGTTTTCTTTTATGTTGGAGTGCACCCAGAGTCCTTCAGGACTGAGGTGGTTTATAAATAATGCTAAATACATATCTACAATTTTAAACCCTTTATGTAATAGTATGAATGACAAAGCCTATCTTAGCCCTTAGGTACTTAACCTGAATTGCATGATGTTTTGTGTTTTCAAACAATGACATTTCTCCCTTCTAGAAACCTAAGACAGTCCCTAAATCCTAAACACCAACCCAGTTACAGTACAACTCAAAACTCCAGAGACACCAGCCTCCAAAACATGGAAAGGTCAAAGCAACTAAACCTGACTGGTAAATGAGATTTCTATTAGGAGCATTTGACAGCAACTTTCAACTGAAATGCAATATATGAAAAATATTCTACCTTAACTAAAATCTAGACCCCAATCCTGGCAGCTGATGACATATTTGGACATAATCTCCACAAGATTCCTACACTGCAATTGCACTTCTGCAGACAAATGCTCACTGTATGCAAAAAGTTTGGCTCAGAGCAGCTGTGGGCCTGTTCCAATCCTGCTCTGCACACATGGAATATCATTCAATAACAATCTTCTCTCCTGCAAAATAAAAGAGACTTCCTACTGCAAGATGTGAGCAAGCTAAAGAAGGCCATAACTCAGTGCTGAAATGTATTCTTTGTACACAGAAGGTCAGCTCTCCATTATCCAGTTTAACTTTCCTTTTCAGACTCTATGATAGCAAGGGTGAGCAAAACCCTTGGCATGAACCCACAATTTTCCTTAAATGCTCTACATCCTTATCATTTCACATCCAAGTACATCCCCATTCTCTACTCTCCCTCTTTCATTCTCATCTGCTCACCCCAGATAAGAATGAATTTAGACAGATGCCCCTTCTGACGTTATTTTGTCTTAATTTTATGCATGGCTCAGAATTAGGTCTCACTGTGATCAAGGAAGTTTATTTCTAGAGAAATATGCCCAGGACTGTGGCCTCATCAACTCAAAAGAGCAGATTATCCAAATATGGTTTGGTTCTGATATAAAGACAAGTAATTGTTCTAGGTAGTATGCCTGAGTCTTGAGGTCACAAGCTCCCACCTTCTTCTTTTGTGTGATTCCACCACAAATTTAATGTGTAACTTAGCAGTCAAAAGGCATCATTATTTCCTCTTTTTATTCGTTGAGAATTTTCTTCTGGAAAGAAAGGCCTTGGTGTTTGCTTAGAGATCGTCTAAAACTTGTCTACACATTTAATTTTTAATATAACCAATTAAGGAAATCATTATGTACATGGGAAGTTATGATGTCAAATTGACTTAAATTTAGTCATATCTAGCTTTTGCTCTGTCTCTGCCCACTTATATGCCATGGCCCCACCCACTTTTGGGAATATGGGACCCAGCACACCATTTACGTCCAAATGCTTCCTTCAGTCTAAAAGAAGTTGCTCAGCCCACTTCAGGCTATCCAATGAGTTGTTGGCAAAGGTGAGATTCAAAACCAGGAGCAACCTGATTTGTAGCTCAGTCTTTGAGCCAATATACTGAATCTTGTGTACGTGATACAATGGAAGCATTCTTTGTAACTCAGCATTTGAACTCTGAATATTAAAAAAATCATGTGGCTCTTGTCTGTACTTGCCCTTTACAGATACTGGGACAATGAGAAAATCAGTTCATGAGTCATCTCAAGAAAGTGCATTAGCTCTAAACTGAAGTTGCCTGGTCCAGGATTAAGAACCATTGTCAGAACTGCCGGAAAGAAGGTCACAGTTGGAATAGTGGAGTTATACAGCTCACTTGCTGTCTATGCAGAAGGAAATGTAAAACAAGATTTAATAAACAAGCATATCCATACCTTCTCAAAGTGAAGGGGCTCCATATAAGCAGAGAAGAGGGCACTGCCTTTTTCAAGTTCTTGTCTTAACTTTCCCAATTCTTGCTTCAGCTCTACTAGCACTGTCTGATCTAAAAGACACATTTGGAGCAGCCCAAGTAAGTTCATTTGAGTGATATGAGACGAATAAGGTATAATCTGCTTGTTTAAAGCCTTTTATATCACCCTTACAATTCAATGACATCGAATAACCTCCACCCACATCTTTGATAAGATCATCAGAAGGATCTTTAGGATCTAACTGAAGCAGTTTAGACACTTTAGCTATTTGATTATCGATTTTTTACTAATGGCACCTGGTAGTGTTGGAATCTCTTCATCGGTAACAGGGATATGCATCCCCCGACATGGGCGGAAGGGTGGGAGATGCAAATCATGGAGGAGTTGGGAGGTGGTAGCTTCATCCTCATGAACATGCAGCCTGTGTGTCTGGGCAAAGAGGCGACTGGCAATCACAATGAAGGTCTTGTGGGTGGGCTATAAAAAACCAAAGATAGCTTTAGCAGAGTCAACACCAAATATATCCCTTTTCCCCACTGCAAGTTCTTGTTCCACATAATCGTTAACTGGATGCATCGGGTGACCCTCCAAAAATACAAACTCCTTATCATCCCAGCTAAGCAACCCCTCCCCTCTTGTATGATCAATACATCACACCACCTTATGCAGCTTTCTGCTATCACTGCATGGAACAGTGGATTCAGGGACTGCATACCAGACATGTTCAGTGACTGCTGAACTCTCCCTTGAAACCTCCAAGGCAAGTTTGAAATGAACTAATCTTTCTCCTGTTGATAAGACACTTTTGGATTCATACTGTTTTCTCAGCTATTCATTGTGAGTGGTTTGCCACCTGTTCTAGGAAATAATAACAAAAACGAACAACAATTTCCATTCACTGAATGTGCACATGTGTTAGTGAGAGTGAATGTGGTGTGCATGTACTTTTGTCCCTTCGTTTACCATTTAAGATGCAAATGGTCAACCCAGCTGAGGAAAAGTCTTGGCCTTTCCTTGATGTGGCTTACTGAGAAGACAAAGCCTGTTCTCTTCTAGAATCCCCAGTTCCCAAGATGAGCAACCCACTCACATTATTGTAGTCAAAATGCAGTCGGTGGGGGCATCGCTTGGATCCCAACCAGAAAGGAAGTCCAGAGCTTGTCTCCTGGGGACAAAGGCAGATGGGGTCAGTCAGGAAGCCACATGGTGGGGGGCGGGGGTTAAGAAGTTCAAGGAAGGAAACGCCATTGACCAAAGGCTGGAACAGAGCCAGGTAAGTTCTGCAGCCTAAAGGGAAGAGATTCAGCCATGGAAGAGAGAATAAGCAAAGGGTTAAGAAACAGCCAATGTGGCTGGAAGGAACTATCTATATCATCTATATCCATATATCTTACTTGTACATATTTTAGTTCCTCCAAAACATTCAGGGCCTCCTTCCCACAACACTGTTACAGTCCATTACCAGCAAAAATCCTTTTCAAACTTTACTGCATGGTGATTAACAATATATGCTATGTGTTAGGGCCAAAAAGAATGATTATAGAAAAAGAAGATGTAACTGCTGTACCATCCAAAAGATGTACATGTTTAATCACGGCAGTATCACTTTCAGTAACATGATGTACATAGTGAGGAAAAACCGGGAATGGACCTCAGACTGAAGTGCAGTGGAACCTGCAGCTGAGGCCACAGCCCTACCAAAGAGCTATAGGGCGAATGAACGAAATGGGACCCTCACTAGCCTACCCTTCCTTGAATCAATTTATGAAAAGCCATGAAAAAATACGTATTACAATACATTGCTACAGTAATGCTTCAATGGCATTTTCAACCGTGCACGGAATACAGAGGTATCAAAGGAGCCACTTTTAAGTTAAGCATCTGGGTTTCCACAAAAATGTACTGTAATTCCATCTGATTCTCTCTTTTTGATTTTCCTTGCAGCCAAGCCAAGAAAATCACTTTCTGTGTTTTAGGTATTAGTATAGCTAAAAGAAAAAAAAATCAGTAAATCATTCTTTTCATGGAGCATGTGCTTTCTTGTAATGCTGAAAAATGCTTCATTTTATTTTCTGATTATGTGTAACACCACCTGCAAAATTACACAGCCACCATTGTATGGAGGTGGATATAAAAGTTTGTGTGTGAATTATGTAGAGGGCAGATCGTTTCTAATCTTCTCAGCAGGTGCCAGATAATCTGAACTAGGAAATATGGCAAGAGGGCTCTCCGTACCAGCAGAACAACTTGCATGGAAAGGGAATGACCACCTTGAGTTTTGCTGCTTCACAATGACAGGAAAAGAGCCAGGTGCAGGCCCCCTATAGAAACCATTTTAGGCTTGACTCCTCAGCCTCAGCATCTGGATTCTGCTTTGAATATACAGTATTGCTTATCTCTCTTTGGACTCTTGTTTACTGTTTCCCATTTGATTCAGATCCGATTAGGCCGTTGCTTTTTTGAAGTTTACTGCCAGGCTGAAACTCTGAAAAACAATTCATTTTCAGGACCTTCAGCTAGGTTGTGTGAGAAATTTTACAACCATAGAATTCTACCCAAAGCAGCAGCAAGAGTGAAGGTTAGTGGGGCTAAGTCTGAACAAGCAATGTCTCCAGGATGAGACCAGCACTTTCTGGAAGAAATTATGAGTTTTAATAAGTTGGAAGCCACTGCAAGAGAAACGTGTGCCCCATCCAAAGACGGACAGAGGGATGACCCTCCCTTGATCTTAATGTATCACGCTTAGCATTGCCCACTTTATTTGCTGCACTGTGGTGGGCAAGAAGCTAGGAAGTAGTTGAGGGTAAGGATATGCACATGTTAGTCTCTGGATATGTCTCACATGTTCAGGTGGAAAGTTGTACAGCAACTGCAGGATGTCATGACAGAAAAGACACTCCCAAAGTCTCCGGGCCCAGGCCACACAGTCTTGCCAGCAGCGTGGCTTCTCCTGAAGGCTCATTTTCACTAGATTCAGCATCTTCAAAGCTTCCATGCCTTCTGTCTCAAGGGAGGTGGGATCCCTGGAGTTAAAAGTACACTTTGTGGTTGGACTAAAGAAAGAAACCTGCTGTTTTATTTCTTAAGTATAGGAAATCTGCAACAATTTTGTGGTTAAAATATCCACAGGCCTCTCTAAACAATCTGATATCCTTGTTTAAATATTCCCTCTAAGAACAAACTGTTGTTTAATGATAGATACAAGTATCAACTAAACTTCCCCTGTCCCTGCCCCTGCAATAAAGCATCCACTTGATTCCCAACAGCGCCTATTCATGACTTTCCCACACATACACAATATTTACCCAGAACTCTATCTTCGTCAAGATCTAGACCTTCACTCACCTCAGAAATTTATTGGTGTTGTCTGCTCCGTTTTTGAAAAGATCCTCAAATTGATTTCGGGCCCACTGCAAAAGATGGAAGTGAGGGGAATTTGGGGATCTGTTCTGCTCTCTGCAAATGCATTGTGCATTCTCAGAAGCAAGAGCCGTTACGATCAGCGAATGCACTCCCAAATAGCAAGTACTGGATAGCAGCCTTTGAGTATCTTATCTGTAATTGTTCTTTGGGCTAACTGGGCCAACATGTACCACAGTTCCCTAAAGCCAGGCATTTACTCTTCTGATCACCAGACTCTAGATATAAGGGGCTCCCCAATCAAGTGCTGAGACTGAACCTTCCTCCACTGGGGGTGGAAGGGGAAGAGAGTTGGAGCATGGAAAGGGCTTGGGGTCCTGAAATCAGGAAAGGCCTGCTCTCGCTGCTTCTGTTTCTGTGAACGGGGAAGAAACAGCTGAAGATTTGCTCAAGGTGAAAGATTTTGGCCTAGCTTATGGGTGAAACAGCTGGACCATATCTCTTGTCATCACACCACTAACAACCACCCTGGTTCTTGCACAGCTGCCTGGAAAGAATAAATGAAACCAAAGGGCCAGGCAGAAGGAGGGAGTTTCCCCTCTTTCAGGGATGGCCCAACTGGGGAGAAAGGGAGGGAATGAGAGGAGAGCAGGCCCGGCCCGGCCCGGCCCTTTGGAGCAGAAGCTGCGGAGTTGATGAGAGGCAGAAGAAAGAGTAACATGGACTATGGAAGAACAGCAGTCTCTGTACCTGAATGGTATGCTGGATGGTGCTGGGAAAATGGCGCAGGGTACAGAGAGGGAATTCTTGGCTATCCGAATCCTGACCTCGTTCATGTGTCTTTGTCAGATAAGGCAGAAAGACCAGGGCATGTCCCTTGGTGCCATGTGTCCCAGAATCGAGCAGAGGCTTGAGATAACGCACGCATCTTTCACCCACATATTCTCCTGCAGGGGAAGGAAAAGGAGGAAGGCTCAGGTGTTGCACAACTCTATGGGTGATTCTCTAGGGATCTTAGGAGAGAAAGAGGGCAAGAACAGCCATTTGTGGCTTGCTGAAGCCACTTTCCTGTGAAAGAATGAGGAATGGAAGGTTCAAGGCAAAAAAATAAAAAATGACATCCTCCCCAAAGAGCTGATTGCCTCATGTCTTCCTTCATTCTCTGAAGGAGAGAACTGGCAGAAGAGCAAGTCAAGACAAGGCAAAGTCCAATTGGACAGAGGCAGTATATAAATTTCATAAATAAACAAACAAACATTCCCTAGTAAGACCATGTTTTGAATATTCCAAATCATGGTATGTATGCTGGATAAATACTGTATTATGCATATTTAAATTGATTATTTAGGTACCATCAATTCAGCCTTGACTCCTAATGACTGCATAGACAAATGCTCACCAATTTGTCTCCAATAACAACCTATAGTTCTTCCAAGGACTTTGCAATAATATATTTGATCCTGACCATCCACCTTATGCATTGTCTTTCCTTCCTTCTTCTAAGTTCAATAGCCTCAAGGGAGTAGTCAGTCGGTCTTTATTTGGTCCAGGACTAATTTATCGTTTTTTTCTTGCAGTTCATGGTACCTTTAGTAATAGTCTTCAAATCTATCATTCTATCTTTTTTCTCTCACTCTTTCTGTATATATAACTTTGATAGCTATACATTCTTACAGGAAAGACCACTGCTTTAACTATTCTGACCTTTGTGTCATAGCAATAACCCTTATATTTCATTACAATATCTTCTCAAAATTTACCTTTCCCTTCAAATTAAGAGAACTCATGCAAAAAAAAAAAAAATTACTTAGCACAGTTATTTGTAAGCATGATATACTTGTATATAATACATCTGTATATACACACAAGCATTTTCCAAGGTGGTAACTTTCAGATGCACAGTGGAACCTCGGTTTACAAACTTAATTCGTTCCGCGACTCTGGTCGCACCCCGAATTGGTCGCAACCTGAAGGAAATTTCCCCATAAGGTTCAATG